GTGGCCAGAGGGCAGGCTTGTAGAGTTGTTTGAATGATTGTCTGTTCCTGAGTGTTTTGGTGCACAACCAAAACCAAAAAGAAAACAGAGGGACTAAGAAGCAAATACTGTTGAATGATAAAGCATGCAGGGGGTTGTAATCATTGCAATGAAACGAATTCAGTAGGATGAGTATAAAACTGATGTTCCCCCATGTAAACTCTCACTCAATTCACAATAAAAAATTTTAAAGGAGTGGGGAAACCTGCTGGGCCCATTAAATTTAAGGCAGAGAGGTAAGCTCAGAACGGAATGGTGACTGTTTTTTGAGATAGAAATGTTAGAATTTTATAGTTTCTAAAGGAGCTCTGGTAGCGTAGTGGTTATGAATCAGGCTGTGAACTGCAAGGTCAGCAGTTTGAAACGACCAGCTGTTCCGCAGGAGAAACATGAGACTTTCTGCTCCCGTATAGATTTACAGCCTCAGAAACCCTGTACAGGGTTGCTATGAGTCGGAACCGACTCCACAGCACATAAAAACAACAACAACAATATAAAATAAGGAGTCCTGGTGTGGTTCTGTGGGTTAACACGCCAAACTGCAAAGCCGTTTGAACTGCAAAGTTGGCAGTTCAAGATCACCAGCTGCTCCTCAGAAACCCTATATAGGGTCGCTATGGGTTGGCACCAACTCGACAGCACTTAACAACAACAATAACAATAAAAATATTTTATGGCTTTTTTTCAAAATAAAGGATAATGTGATTGTTGTTGTTAGGTGCTATCAGCTGAGTTTTAACTCATAATGACCGATGTGACTGAGTAGAACTAACCCAAAATGTATTTTAGGCCATAATCTTTATATGAGCAAATCACTAGGTCTTTCTCCTATGGAGTTTCTGGGTAAGTTCAAGCCCTCAAACTTTTGGTTAACAGCTAAGTGCTTAATCATTGTGACACTAGAGCATCTAATTAGTGTAGTACAATTTGGGAGGAAAAGTAAATGAGAATCTGGCTGACTGATTGGAAGAGATCCATATTTGTGCCCATTCCAAAGAGAGGTGACCCAACAGAATGCGGAAATCATCGGACAATCTCTCTGATATCCCATGTGAATAAAGTTTTACTAAGGTAATACAAAAACGGCTGCAAGCATACATTGACAGAGAACTTCCAGAGGATCAAGCCAGATTCAGAAGAGGCCGTGGAACGAGGGACATCACTGCTGATGGATCTTGGCTGAAAGCTGAGAATACCAGAAAGATGTTTACTTGTGCTTTATTGACTAAGCAAAGGCTTCCAATTGTGTGGGTCATGACAAGCTATGGACAACATTTCGAAGCATGAGTATTCCGGAACACTTAATTGTGCTCATGAAGAATATGTACCTGGACCAAGAGGCAGCTGTTCTAACAGAACATAGGAACACTGAATGTTTTAAAATTAAGAAACGTGTGCGACAGGGTTGTATTGTTTCACCATATTTATTCAACCTGTATGCTGAGCAAATAATCCGAGAAGCTGGGTTGTATGAAGAAAAACGTGGCATCAGGATTGGAGGAAGAGTCATTAACAACCTGCGATATGCAGATGATACAGCCTTGCTTGCTGAAAGTGAAGAGGACTCAAAACATTTACTGATGAAGATCAAAGAGCACAGTCTTCAGTATGGATT